AAAAACAAAAAACAAAAAACAAAAAACAAAAAACAAAAAACAAAAAACAAAAAACAAAACAAAACAAAACAAAAAAAAACAACCAACCAACCAACCAAAAAAACCAAAATAAAACAAAACAAAAAAACACCTATGATGGTTCACTCCCTTAATCCTAGCACTCTGGAGGCAGTCAGGAGAATCACTGTGAATTCAAGACCAACCTGATCTGCACGGTGAATGTTAGAACACCAAGGGCTACATGGTAGGATCCTGTTTCAAAAACAAACAAATAAGACATGCTCCTGCCCCCCATCAAACAAAACCAGACCTCCAAAACACATAAGAAAAGAATCCTAACCAATAAAGGCTTCTGCAACAGATACATTAAAGCCCCAAGGAAAATAAAGAAGATATCAAAAGATGGGAAGATCTTCCAAGCTGGTAGATTAACAGAATTAATATTGTAAAAAGGGTGGTGTTACTGAAAGCAGATTACAGATTCAACTCATAAAAACAAAGAAGAATACGCTACTCACACACACACACACACACACACACACACACACACTAACCATGCTACTGACAGAGACACAAAAAAATTGGCATATAGAATACAATATAAGTACCAGAAATAAATCTAGACAGCTAATGCCACCTAATCTTTGACAAAGACATCGAAAACATATATTGAAGAAAAGACCATTTTTTTCTACATGGAAAACTATATCCAGGGAAGAACTAGATCCCTATCTCTTACTCAACACACACACACACACACACACACACACAAACACACACACACACACACCAATTAAGAATGGATCAAAGGCCTTAAATTAAGAGCTCAGACTTTGAAACTGCTCCAGGAAAACATGGATAAAATGCTTCAAGACAGACATAGGTAAGAACTAAAATTGCACAGGAACTAACTCCAATAATTGACAAATGTTATGCAACAGTTTCATCCTATATTGAAACATTCCATCTTTCAAGGAAGCTCCTTAAGCAGAAAGGTAAAAAAAAAAAAAACAACCAAAAACCAAAACCAAAACAAAACAAACAAACAAACAAATACCCCTTTAGCTTCAGGAACTCCCTGAAACATCCCGGCCAGAGTAAACAACAAAAGCTGAGAGTTCCTTCCAGACAGAAGGAAGCTGGGTTGCAAAGAAGACTTCAGATAAACTTAGCTGCAACAAAGACTCTCAGAGGAGCTAAGCTCCAAAGAAGACTCAGAACAGCAGCCTGGGCAAAGGAGAAAGCAGTCAAGCTTCCCGGAAGAAATTTAAACCAACTGAATCACTGAGAAGGGACACTGTCCAGCCTGCTCACCTACCTACAGGCTGTGCAATGGGATCCATGTTCCTAGCTTTTGTGACTGGTCACCCATGCTGGGGTGGACCTTGGGGATGCCACTGTCTTTGAGTTGATTTCTGCTTCTCTAAATGACCCTTCACCATGCTTTTGTAAGCAAGCCCAATAAAACTCCTTGATTCACCAAGTTGGACTTTGGTAGTATCCATACTTTGGTCTGTCATAGGTTCTCTATCTGGGGTGAGTAGGAATGTGTGTTGAGTATCCCCAGGAAAGGTTTTTGTCATACAACACATAAAATTGCATTAAGTTAAAATGCTTTTGCACAGCAAAGTTAAAAATGAACACAGTGGAGAGACAGCCTATGGAGTGGGAAAAATTTACCAACTATACAGCCAACAGGGATCAATAACTAGATTCTATAAAGGTCTAATGAAATGAATAGACAATTGTCAAAGAAAGGAATTCAATTGCCCAATACATGTTTGAAAATGTACTCAACAACTATCCTGGTGTGGGGCACATTTCCTGTTATCCCAGCACTAGCTAGATAAAGGCAGGAGGGTCAGGAGTTTAAGATCATCTTCAGACACATATGAATTTGAGGCCAGCCTGGGCTACATAGACTCCTTTGTCAGAAAAGAAAGGAAGAGAGGAATAGAGGTGGGGGGGGTGGAGGAAATGGGAGGGAAAGAAGAGAAGGAAAGAAGTGTTCAACATCAGTATCCAATAAGAAAATGCAAATTAAAGTTGCCTTGAGATTCCATCTCACCTGGGTCAAACTGGTTATCATTTTAAAAAGATGCTCACAAGGATGTGAGGAAATATATACCTTTATAACGTGTAGCTAGAATGTGCAGTGACATGCCACTATGGAAATAGGTATGACAGCTCCTGCAATTAAAAGTAGAACTACATATGATTTAGCTACGATACTCCTGGTGTACACGCAAAGGCTTCTAAGTCAGCACCCCACAGAGATAAGCACCCATGTTTATTGCTGCACTAGTTGCAGAAGCCAAGCTATGGACCCAACCTGGATGCCCACCAACAGATGAACAGGTAAAAAAATATAGTAAATATATACAGTGAACGAAGTTATGACATTCAAAGGAAAATGGGCAGAACGGGAGATCATTATGCTAAGAAATAAGACAGACTGCCCAAAACTCAATTATTGATGTTTTAGAAATGGCAGGATAGCTTTAGCTATTTTTATAGAGATAATATTGCACCATTAATATGCATAGTTCTAAAATTTTACATCAGTTCAAAAAACTAAGAAATCCTTTTTTTTCTTTTTAAAAAAAGGCGACAACTCATGGAAAAAGTTAAATGTACATCATAATTTTAGAACAAAAGAGCAACATAGGAAAGGTTAAATTCTAACTAAGAATTAGTAAAGTTTGAAGCAGCCTTGGTTAAACATAAAAGTGACACATTTTTATCAGTTATTTATGTGAAACTGAACTGAGTAGGGATAAAACTAGTGAAGGGAAAAAGAAGAAAGGCACCCACCCACATACACGCTGACGCTGGAACTTACTGCCATCGGGTTTTGTCCTTCAGGGAGTTTTTCCTCGAGCCGCTCCCTTCGCTGGCGCTATCCTCCTCCTCCATCTCCAAGCTTCGGCTGCAGCTCCGGATGATCTGAAAGATGCTGTTGACCGTGAGCTCCTTCTCTGAATTCTTTAAGCCATTCTGTCCCACTCGCTGTAAGAAGTTATCTTGTCCACTGTAATCGGCTACAAACTACAGAAAAACAGTTCAAGAATACACTGTTTCAACTTACCATGTCTGAATAACCTACACCTAAGAGACCTAAATCAAAACAGTGGCATGTAATAACTTCTGAGCCTATTTTACTGAAATGGAGTCAAGAGACTCCAAGGAAAACTTTATTTTCTTTTTTTTTTTTCACCTCACCACATGAAATCCCCAAACTTGCTCCTTCCTCGTTGTGACAGTCCCAGCACCTCTAGGAATCTAAACTGAACTGTGAATTTATAACACAAAAAGCAATATTATTTCATGGCTCCCTAGGGACAAGGTTAGCCACTTTACAGAGGAGGGCAGTCATTTTATTCTTATAATGGGAGTTGAGAAGAGAATGAGTAAAGCTATCCATGACACAGAACAAGATGAAGTGACCCAACTCAAGGAAAACATTGAGAAGCTGTCTTTTGGCGGCCTTGTCCATATGTGCTACAGGAAAACAGTAGCTTCATGATGTTTTCTAAGCTACCATTGTGGCTTGATCATGATCAGGAAGCTTCTAGAATCAGAGGGAAGAGCTGCAATCCAGTCAAGAGAGGCAGTAGTCCTCCATTGCAAGGGAGCTGAGGAGAGTGGAGGCTGGGAGGCTTTTTAAAGCTGCCTCTTTCACTTACTGGACTTTTAACACCAGCTGCTAAGACCAAGGAAATAACAGCCGGAGTCTGTCACACGTGCATGTCAGGGGTTCTCAAGTCTTCCTAGAGCAAGTGATGCCTCTCTTCTCAGGTCACACGAAATAGGCTGAAGTTTTGTGTGTGTGTGTGTACATGTACATATGTGTTGAGTGTGTGTGAGAGTGTATGCACGTGTGTTGAGTGTGTATGAGCTTGTGCATGTATGTGTGTATGTGTGTGAATGTGTATGTGTGAATGTGTATGTGTGTCTATATATGTGTGGGTGTGAGGGTGTGAAGTGAGTATATGAGTGTGTGAGTGTGTGTGTTTTGAGTGTGTGTGTGTGCATAGTTATGTGTGCAGGTATGTGAGTGTGTGTGCTCGTGCCTTTGTGTATGCATGCGAGTATGTGTATGTGAGTATATGTATGTGTGAATGTGAGTATATGAGTGTGAGTGTATGTAAGTGTGTTGAATGTGAGTGTGTGTACATATATGTATGTGTGTGTGTATGTGTGTGTGTGTGAAAGGTCAGTATTGAGCATTGTTATCTACACAGATGAGAGCATGAATGACTCTGGATTTGGGCTTGAGATTTTCAAATACATAATGCCTCAAAAATCTCCCTAACACATTTTAAAACATTTTTATTTCACTTTTAAACACCCTAGAGGGAGGTTTCCTTGTGAGCCTCTTGGTGCCCCTTACTGAGTGTGCAATGTCCTGACTTAAAGCTCACACCATTCTTGAGAGCAGGGCAAGAGGGGCAGAACCTGGAGTGTCTGGATGACACATACGTGCGTGAAGAGATGGCACTAATGACATTCCCCACTCCTCCTCCCCCCAACAATTTGGAAGTTATTTGGTCTCATTTGACATCATCCTCTAAATCTAGATAGTTCTACCCAGTAGCAAAAACTTGCCAACTTTTGGAATTAAAACAAAAATCCAGCAGCACTTTCCCCCTCGGGCGCAACAGTATCACATTAAATCTAATGTAACAATACCAAGGTCCAAATAGGTGGTGGTGCTTTCTCCAGAACGTTCAAGGACCTCCTCTCTACCCGTAAACAATATACCAAGGCTTTCTCTAGACTCAGAAAGTGATTCCCATCGTACAAGTGAGTACACAGAAGGCTGGGCGGGTCTCTTGGAGACTGCCCACTCGGAAAGGCTCACCTCCAGAGCTTCTTCTTGGGAGCTGTACCGTGTGCAGAGCTTCAGGAGGCCAGATGCGCCATCAAGGACCTCACAGAGCTCCTTCAGGAACACCCCACAGAAGGGAACCACTTTGCAGCCCGGGATGTGCAAGGCTCGGGTCACTACCTTCTTGTACTCCACGGAAGACTCGTGCTGGGCCATGGCGTCCTTCAGGCTCCGCATGGTCTCAATGTCAGACTGGTCCATGAACTGCCACATCTTTAGAACTTTCCTTGACCTATTGCAAATCAATGACATTTTTTTTTTTTAAGCTTAGAGGGGTGAAAATGTAGCTTACATTATGTAGACAAAATTCCATAAGGTTTATTATTGCCATTTGCCTCCATAGTGCTCTTTCTGTGTTCTTATTTATTTAGGATTTCTATCTTCATTTGGTGTCATGGTGGCACCGGCGGTATAAAAGTAACTAACGACTTTCTGGTTGGATTTAAGGTCCACCTACGAGATGGAAAGGAATACTGTTAAAGGAGCCAAGATCCTGTGACTAGTTAGATCATAGACTTAGGAAGGCACCCATCAGTATTATTTTGCGATGTAATAATAAAATGACTCCTAATGATGTACTGCTATACACATACACCAGAGCCTCTCTCAAGCCTCATCAGGAAGATTTCTTGTAGCAGACGACGATTAGCACAGAGACCCTTGATTGATCAATATACACAGACTATGAGAAGAAGAAACATATCCTACCCCTCTCCCAATGCTCAGGGGTTTTCATGGGACAGTGAGTGGAAAGATTGCAAGAGAGAAAGATGGCAGATAACATCACAGAAATTGTCTTCCAGCTAAAGCAAGGCAGCTGCACATAGGAACTCACAGCAACTGTGACAGCATGCACAAGAGCTGTGCACATTCCAGCCAGACAAAAATCCCAGCGTGGAGGGTGGAAGGTAGGCACAAAATCCCACTACTAGCTGAGGAGCTAAAAGCATTGGGTAGTGGCTGGAGAGGGAACATCCGTTTTCTTTAAGGATGTGGTCCTTGACAAGTTGACCACATTCCAAGTTGGGCCCTACTTCTGGTCGGGTGACACAACTGGACTCCATGTGGTAAGAAAAAAAATGAAGAAATATCAAAGTTAGGTGGGAGGGGATGGGAGGAGGGACGGAAGGAGGGAGGAGGGTGGTTATAAGAGGAGTTGGGGGGAAAGATGGATATATTTAAAACTCATTGTATTACATTCTCAAGGAATTAATAAAAATATTGCTTAATAAAAAGCTAAGTATGAGCCCAGGATTACGCCTGCAAGGAGCATTCCTCCCAGGTTTCTGCTCCAAGTTCTTGTTTGTATCCCTGCTCTGACTTCCCTCTGTGATGGACTTATGACCTGGAAGAGTAAACCAGATAACACATTCCTTCTCTGAGTTGCTTTTGTGCAGAGGATTTTTTTTTAAATCATAGCAACAGAAAGGAAAGCAGAACACATGGTTTGCACTGCTATTTCTGAGGCATTGTCCGCAGAGAGCCTGTCCTATATGTCCCTCCCAATCTTTGAGTCCCTCAGTGGTGTACAAGAAGCCTGCTAGCTTAGAATCCAGCAGGGACAGGTTTTTGCAGAATGAGGTTTGACCTTAGCTCCACATCACCCAAGGGACCTTGTTTTGATGCATGATTCGCAAAACAACATATTAAATGGATTTTTTTTTCCTAGTTTGAAACTGCTGCTGAGATCAACAGGCAACACCATAGCTGGCAATCTCCAGAGTGGTATCATGGAATCATGAGGGGTGTCTGGACTGCCTTGCCCATGATGCTTTTTTGTCCTCCTTTATCCAACATAGGGAAACCAGACAGTTGGAGACATCCCTACGGAGAGCATTGTGAGAGGGTTTCTGTGAAAAGCAGGAACCTAGCCTCAGGGGCTGGGTGTGTCAAGTGGACTCCTTGGACACTCTTCCTGGGGGTGTGGATCATGGCCTACTGTGCAACTCTTACCTAAATATGCCCAAAGGCTCAGGGAGACATGGCTCTGTGGATGCTTTCTGCCTTTATAGGGTTAACAAGGCAGTGGGGGTGTTTCTTAGGAGTCCAGCCAGAGCAGACACTGTGGAAGGAGCTGAGCTTGGGCTATTTATTTATTTATTTTCTTTTTAAAAATACTCTTATTTATTTTATTTTTTTATATATATATATATATATATATATATATATATATATATATATATATGACGAGTACACTGTCTCTGTCTTCAGACACACCAGAAGAGTCATCAGATCCCATTACAGATGGTTGTGAGCCACCATGTGGTGGCTGGGAATTGAACTCAGGACCTTTGGAAGAGCAGTCAGTGCTCTTAACCTCTGAGCCATCTCTCCAGCCCACATTTATTTATTTATTTATTTATTTATTTATTTATTTATTTTGAGAGGAAACAATTTTACTTTACACAAAATCAGGACTAGATCCTTGGCTTTTTAAAAGAACGTTTCATTGATTCTTTGTGAATTTCACATCACACACCCCAATCCCACTCGTCCTCTCTCTTCATATCCACCCTCTGCCCTTGCAACTTCCCCTCCAAAAGAAAATAAAAAAATAAAAACAACCCCTCCTGATCCAAACATCTCATCTTGGAAGCTGTAGTGTGTCACCGTGTGTCCCACAGTATACCCTTCTTTCTACACATCTTTACTTGCATTCATTGTAAAGAGTCATTGCAAGTTTGATTCGAGGCCTCTGACTTCACTACTACACTATTAATACTGGTTGCTCACTGGGATTCCCATCATATATCCTGTTGTCCTGTTCATTAAGACCCGAGGCTTGGAATCTGCAGGACCCAGGCACTTCACTTGTTCCAGTAGTTCATAGATGGGGTATGTGCTGGGGTGAGCTGACTCAGAGCCCTGGATCTGGGCCTGAATGGTAGCTGAGTTGGTCATTGAACTTGAGCTATCTTTAAAAGCCTGCCTGACAGATAAGGAGACCCCTGAGCCTGAGAGAGAGAGGACCCCAGGACTAGATCTAAAGCCTGAAAATTGAGTGGTTGAGGGTGTACCACACTTTGACAGATATGTTTAGACATTTGGGAAAGATTCTTGCCTCCTGATGGGGGTGCTATTTTAGAGGGTTTTGGAAATTTTAGGAGGAGAGCTCCAGCTAAAAGGTTAGTGTAAGCAGGTTTTTCGAAATCATACCCTGTCCTTGACCCCTCCCTGTTTCTCCTTCTACTTCCGATAGGTTCACAATGAGGGAAAGAAGCCTCCCCCATACACACTCCCAGCAGTCAGGAGAGCATGTGTGGGACACTTTGGAACCACGAGTCAAGCGCAGACATTTGCACCTTCAAGTTGTTCTCTATGCTAGGTAATTGTGCAGTGAGAGGTTCTTACAAAACAAGTGGTGAGCAGACAGGGGTCACTAGGGAGGAACTCTGACACCACGGGCATCTATCTCTGTGACAGTAGAGATGACTACAGCCAAGTAGGACTTGGTGCTCCTTCAACTCCAGGTCTCTTTCCTTTGCTGTCCCCTCCCCTCTCTCCTCCTTTCCCTTTGAGGGACCAGGGCTGTGGAGTTTATCCTGGTAAGTGTTACTGCCTGTCCAGGGAACTGATTCAGAGCTATCTGACTAGAAAGAAGAACCTGTTTAGATCACCACACTTCCTTACCTGAGGCCTGCCAGGAACTCCATGACAGCATTGTAGTTACCCATGTTCCAGCAGCATTTGGCCACATGCACCAAATAAGAGAAGACTTCCCGCTTCTCCTCCATGGAGCCTGCTGTGAGGATCAGCCACGTTACCCAGGAGCTCACCTGGAAGATGGATGGTAGACATTCACTGAAGACATATCCCCGAAACTTGATTTATATATGTGTGTGAGTGTATATATATACATATATATGTGTATATATGTGCGTATGTATGTATATATGTGTGTGGGTATGTATATATATGTTTATGTATATGTGTATATATACACATATACATACACATACACATACATATATACATATATGTATAAAGGAAAAAAATCAATTGGGACCAGGAGATCCTGGGAAGCAAGGATCTCTAACATGAAACCCAGATCCATTGCTGATTTGATATGGCTCCTGGAGAGTCAATATGTCTGCATCTTCATCTCCATCTTGAAATAAAAAGGCTGAAAGGGGTAAACAGAAAATGCCTCTCGATCCACATGATTCCTTAAGACTATATAAAGCAATATGGTCCTTGGATACTCTTGATGAAATATGGCTGATGGACATGAAGGTTAAAGGCAGCCAATGCATTTAGCCCATATGTTTGAAACATTTATCAAGCAAGAAATGTGTAGTATCAGAGCTGGTAAAATGCTCAAGCAAGTAGCAGTACCCGTCACCAAAGTTTGACAACCTGATTTTTATCCCTGGTACCCACATGGTAGAAGGAGAGAATAAAATCTCTAACATTGTCTTCTGATTTTCATATGCCTTCCACGACATAAGCTCATGTGCACAGATGTGCACACACACATAAATAAATAAATAAATAAATAAATCTTTAAAAAATTAAAACATGTAGTACCAAACCAAAAAAAAAAAATACAAAAAAAAATTTTGGAACAATCTTATTTTCTAAATTAATTAATTAATTAACTAACTCTATATCTCCATCAGTTTCCCCTCTCTCTTCTCCTCTCAGTTCCTCCCTTCTGCCTTCCCTTCCCTCCACTCCCCTCCCCACCACGCACCCCACCACTCCTATGTTTCTCTTGAGAAAAGGGGAGGCCTCCCATAGATATTAACCAGTCCTGGCACAGCAAATTGCAGAAAGACTAGGCACATCTTCTCCTATTGAACCCAGATGAGGCAGCCCAGTTGGAGGAAAGAGTCCCACAGTCAGGCAACAGAGTAGAGACAGTTCCTGCTCCCTCTGTGAGGCCAAGCTACACAACTGAAACGTATACACAGAGGTCCCTAGTCTGCCCCATGCAGACTCCTTGATTCAGTCTCTGGGAGCCCTTCTGGGCCCAGGTTAGTTGATTTTGTAGATTTTCTTGTGGTGTTCTTGACTGCTCTGGTGTCTACAATCCTTCTTCCCCCACTTCCACAGGATTCCTCAAGCTTGGAAAAATCTTACACATGTTAATCTACTATAGCCTTCAAATGACAAAACAGCTAGAAGAGTAAAAACTAATACTTACTATGTACCAGGAGCCATCCTAAGGACTTTGACTATGACTCCTCATATATCTCTCACAACAGTTCAAACTCAGGCGTGATTAATGCCCCAAGAGGTTGCAGAAGATTCTCAGGCAAAATAGGCCACAAAGGCTTGCCTTGGACTTGGGGTTGCCATTTGGTGGCTGTATGAATGAACACACAGGGAATCTCATGTTTGCTGGCTCTAACTCCAGGATTACATTCTTCTACTGTGACTTGTTTTTTTTTTTTTTTTTTTCCTACCAGAGTATAAAATTTAGTATTTCACATCTACATCCCATTTCTGACATTTGGAATTTAAATGATCTCTTTCTGCACTGAGATCATTTCACTGTTGTTCATCCTGGTGCTTGGCCATGGCTGTCTAAGTTGAGTTGCTTTCTCCATCTTGCCTAACTCATGGGAGGGTGACCTGTGGTCTGCTGTTGACCATATTAGTTGTAATAGGTTAGCAACAGAGCTGAGACCTAAGGAAGAACTCTTTCTTCAGTCTGTGCGAGAGTGTGGCCTGAACAGAGTTCATGGTGACCAGGACATCTGAGGAAATAGGAGTCCAAGGTAGAGGGCACACTGCCCACAAACGGAAACAGTAAGAATTAATGATGTTTAGTGTCAGCACCATCTATAGAGGATGACCAATGCCAGTTTTTCCAATCTAGAAGCTTTGGCTTGCCAAGCCCTGGGTTTGATACCCAGCATCACAAAGGAAACAAAAGAATGAAACAAACAAACAAACAAACAAAAAACAAACAAAAACCCAAGAATAAAACAAATACAGAAACCAAAAGAGTATATGCCTCAGAGGAGAAATATTCACAAAAAAATTTCTTCTGAGGTCATGATACTTAAAAACTAGGACTCTCAGCTTAGTATTCTTTTATTCAGCCGATGAAAGGTGATGATTCCTTTTTACATGTGGTCCTGGGTGGATCCTCTTAAGCCATTGGTTCTCAACCTGTGGGCTGTGACCCCCTTTGGGGTTGAATTACCCTTTCAAAGGGTTGCCTAGGATCATTGGCAAATGGAGATACTTACATTACAATTCATCAATAGTAGCAATATTACAGTTATGAAGTAGCTATGAAAATAATTTTATGGTTGGGGTTACCACAAAGAGCATTAGGAAGGTTGAGAACCACTGTCTTAAGCATTTAATTTGGAGTTACACATTTGAAGATAGAGGCAGAATGAAATCAAGAACAGCACCCCTAAGATAATTTAAAAAAAAACCACCATCAACAAAACCCATCCCAAACTACAATGTATAGGATAGATGCTCAACACCTTTTACCCCTCCAGAGAAACAAGTATAAAAATGGTAGCAATGTTGATGGATTTCCATATATTGAACCATCCCTGCATCCCTGGGATGAAGCCTACTTGATCATGGTGAATGATCGTTTTGATGTGTTCTTGGATTTGGTACTGGGCATATACCCAAAAGGTGCTCCAACATATAACAAGGACACATGCTCCACTATGTTCATCAGCAGCCTTATTTACAATAGCCAGAAGCTGGAAACATCCCAGATGTCCACCAATAGAAGAATGAATACAGAAAATGTGATACATTTACACAATGGAATACTATTCAGTTATTAAAAACAATGACACATGGAACTAGAAAATATCATCCTGAGTGAGGAAACACATTCACAAAAAGACACATTATATTAGCCCCAAAGCTCAGAATACCCATGATACAACTCACAGACCATATGAAGTTTAAGAATAAAACCAAAATGTGGATGCTTCAATCCTACTTAGAAGGGGGGAACAAAATAATCACAGGAGGTAGAGGGAGAGAGGGACCTGGGAGGGTGAGAAAAAAAGGAGGGGGGCAGGATCAGGTATGTGAAGGGACAGGAGAGAAGTACAGAGGGTCAGGAAATTGAATAGAAATATGTAGCAGTGGGGGATGGGGAACTGAGGAGAGTCACTAGAAAGTCCCAGACAGTAGGGAAACTAGAGGCTCCCAGGACCCAGTAGGGATGACATGAGCCAAAATACCCAACAAAGGGGAGATAGAACCTGTAGAGACCACCTCCAGTAGATAGGCACAGACCCTAGTTGAGTCATTGGGGCCATCCACCAATCTCAAAAGTTTTAACCCAAAATTGTTCTTGTCTAAAAGAAATGCAGGGACAAAAAATGGAGCAGAGACTAAAGGAAAGGCTATCCAGAGGAAGCCCCACCTAGAGATCCATCCCATCTGCAGACACCAAACCCCAACACTATTGCTGATTCCAAGGAGCGCTTGCTGACAGGAGCCTGATATAGTTGTCCTCTGAGAGGTTCTCCTAGCACCTGACCAATACAGATGCAAATACTCATAGCCAACTGTTGGACTGAGCCTGGGGACTTCAACGGAAGAGCTAGGGGAAGGACTGAAGAAGCTGAAGGGAATTGCAACCCCATTGGAATAACAATATCAACTAACTGGACTACCCAGAGCTCCCAGGGACTAAACCACCATCCAAAGAATATACATGGAGGGATCCATGGCTCCAGCTATATATATAGCAGAAGATTGTCTTATATGGCATCAGTGGGAGGGGAGGCCCTTGGTCCTGTGGAGGCTTGATGCCCCACCATAAGGGGATGCTAGAGGGGTGAGGTGGGAGTAAGTGAATGGATGGGGGTGCACCGTCATAGAGGCAAAGGGGAGGGGGGATGGGATAGGGGTTTGTGGAGGGGAAATGGGGAAGGAGAACAACATTTGAAATGTAAATGAATAAAATAGCCAATTAAAAAAGATAAGATGGTGGCAATGATGGGGTACTGCTTAAACATGGCTACATACTGGAGGTTGTTGCACTGGAGTAAAAAACTGCCAATTCTTTTCTAATATAAGCTGAAATAAAACCTGTCACTCTAACATCCAGGAGGCTCTGAGTAGCTCTCTCTGTTATATCCTTGCTCTGAGGGATGCTAGCTGTATGCAAAATCTGAACAGATCTAGAATCAGTCCAGTAGGACAAGTCCTTCCTGCATCAACCAAAGAATTCTATGGGGTTCTTAGAGCTGAGCTCTCCTGCAGCTGCCAGCGAAATCCCCTGCTTGTTCTCCAAGCCTGTTTCCTACACCATGTAACAGTCTGTTCATGAAACCTTAGCTCTGCTGGACCAAGAAGAAATGTTTGCCAACAGAGACTGGTCGTGGTTTGGTGCAGCTAGCCAATTCTTCCTTTAGCTTGGTTTGTGTTTGATGGACCTTAACCTAGAGTGGGAACCAAGTCAAACTTTTCTTTAAAAGTAGAAATTGGATTCTGAGCATTTGAAATGGTTCTTCAGAGTCACCCAGTTCCTGCCTGAGACTACGGCCTGACAGAGTCCTATGGCTGTCAGCCAGCCCTTCGTTGAAAGTCACTGGAACTATTCTGACTATTCCTATCAGGCAGTGAATAGAAAGGGTTAACCCTCATCCAGGAGGAGAGGCAGAACCCACCCCTCCTTTGTGTCCCAATCCTGATCACGCACACAGATTTATTTCCTATCAGTCAAATCATTTCCCATACACTTTCCCACATGCTAGGGAAAAAATAGCAATACTGTATTTCACATGGAAACATAATTTAAACCAACTGTTCCATCCCTGAGTGTGAGTCCCCA